CTCTCATGAGTTGCGAGTCATAACTGCTACTTGGTCAGCTGCAGTGAGCAGTTTCTATCTTTTGCAAAGAAATGGTCAGTGGAAGTCCTCTTAGGGTACAACCTGCTATTGCTTATTTGTTTATGTTAGACTACGGTTTTGATTTTGGACTCTTATTTTTTTTCATCTGACAGAAGCTTATTAACCCCTTCCCCAACAATTTTTTTGTTAAAAACGTTTCTTTTTCAGACTAATTTTTTTATTTTGGTTCTATATAGTATTTTTGATGCTGGTTATGAAAACAGTTTGTAACTCGTCTTCCTATAAACCATATTTTTTTACCATATTTTCTTAGTATACTCGTCGACGACTGAAAAAGAACATTTTGTGAAAACGAGTATACATGTTTCTGCCGGGGAAGGGGTTAATGAAGACATGCAGTTAAATGTGTGCATTTGAATAAATTGTCCCTAAAGGCACTTACCTTGTATCCCTGGTATGTGGTACATAGTAGTTGCTGAACAGTGTTAGTTGGATAAATTGGGGGGAGGGATTGACCCAATTTGTGTTTTGTAGAGTATATTTGTGATTGGCATGCCTTCTGCAAGCTTCACATTTTAATTCATTGATTACTCAAGGAACTCCTTCCTGGTGGTAGCGCATGTGAGCAGCAGTGAGTTGCCTTGTAGTTGATTCGGCTTCTGGAAGAAATGTGAGGTCTGTCTAACCCTAAGGAATGTGAGCCAGGCTCTTCCCCCCACATTCTTTCAGTCCCCTAGACTTATGAAATGGCTTTCCACCCAGATAAAAATACCATTTTTAATATTTTTTTGTAGCTAAAATACATCACAGAGAAAAGTGAAGAGATCACTAAGTTTAATGTAGAACGAAAAACAAAGAAGAAAAAGAAACTAGAGGATGAAAACAAAGATTCGTCGGAGCCAGCAGAGGCTGGAGGCGTGGGAAGTGAGAGTTAAACTCTGTCACCACTTGGACAAAGCCCTCACGGGGAGAGCCCCCGAAATGCATATTGCCACAGAGGGAACTTTGAAGGGAGAAGAGATTAAACAACAGAAACAGAACAAGAGGCGAGGGGGCCGTTGTGCTCTTTCTCCAAGTCAGTGACCGCAAACTTTAAAAAGAGCGTGGGAAACGCAAGCAGAACGCCCCGGCCCCGTCCCCGAAGCACATGGAAAGGTTCGTATTTCAGTGGTGTGCATTGGGCGTTGTATCTATTGCAATTAATAAAATTGTGTTGGCAGTTAAATATGGTTGATTTTTTTCAAGCAAAAATTAGTCATTTCTTTATTCTTTTATGTAATTTTTTAGGCTGACAATTCCTGAAAATGAATAAAGCTGTATTTATTTAGTTCTTTTGATTACCAATGTTTTAAGCCCATGTCACGTGATCACAAGGTAAGAAGGTCTGGGAAATGTTCCTGTTTACCTTTTAAATGAGGTTTTCTCCAGAAGCACAGTTTTTGTGATTTTCCTCGGGCTGTGTTGTAATTAAACAGGTTCTGCTGGGGAGAAGTTTTGCTTGAGGAAACCTGGCCTGCGACTCCGAACACTCAGTGTGTTGTCCTCTGTCTTATTGGGAGGTGATGCTCCCAGGAGCCCCAGTCTGTCTTCCTTTGGGGGTTGCTTAGAGGTCCAGGCCGTGCCTTCCCCTGTAGGGGCAGGAGGGTGAAGAGAAGGGACGGCATGTACAGAGCCCTTCCCTGTGCCAGGCCCTGCTCTGGGCGCTCCGGTCGCCCTCCCTGGATCCTCACAGCTTGTTCCGGGCACATCTGGTTATTCCCGTTTTACTGATGAGCAAGCTGAAGGGCGGAGAGGTTAACCTCTACTGACCAGTAGAGACTGTGTCCATTTGGGGTGCTGGTTTGAGGGGCGAGAGGAAAAAGGACATGCATTTTGGACAGGATTTTTACCATCCATGCTCAAGTGATTAGCAAAAGACACCCCAAAGTCTGGACAGTCAAAAAGAGATGCCCAGCTGTGATCATAGTAAAGCATTGAATTCAAACTTTCGTTTCGGCTTCTGCAAATAGCTAATCTCAGATGTTAATTGTAACATCTGTGTGTCACATCAGTGAAGGAAAAGGAAACCCAGAGCCTTCCATCTTTGCAGGACATTTCTGCCAGAGATCTGTATGTTGGCTTCATTTTCAGATAAACTCTCTTAAAACTCCTCATCAGGGAGCATCTAGAGACTAGATACCATGGACTTTCCAAAGGTTGACAAGCCTGGATTTGCACCCTGCTTTTGCCACTCTAGTAGCTGTATGACTTTCTGAAACTTTGTGTTCTTACTCGTAACAGTGACTAGGGTTAAAAAATACCTGGCAGGGAGGTATATGTGACGGTAAGAGGGGGTGGGAAAGGCCACACCGCCTCATACACAGCGATGTCCAGGAAGAGTTCATCGGAACATGCCTGTTCCCTCTACTGAACGGTGGAGTCCACAAAGAACCCTTAGGGTCGTTCAGTCCATCTTCCCACCAACCGCGAACCCCTTCCACCGCATTCCCGGGGTGTGGCTCCCCAGGCTCTGCTGAACTCCAGGGACGAGAGCCCCTTCTTATTGGACACTAATTCCAAGTTTTTCTGTTGATAGGGAAAACTCTTCCCCCTCCTAACTTCTCTCTGGGTCCTGTTCTGCCCTTTAGAATGAGCAGCCTTTGTTTTTCCTTTTAATCAAAGTTCCCATTGTATCTCTTTTCAGAAGCACACATTCTTGCATCAAACATGGGATGACCAGCTGCCCGAAGGCAGACTTTGGGTGGTGAACGGCGATCGCTCGGTGCTGGTGTGGTGCCTGGCATGGTGGGCACCGGGGAAGACTGTGCCCTGGAGTCCAGGATGTGCTGGTGGGATAAGCTGGAGCCCTTGCTTAGGTTACTTGGTTCCAAGCAGGGGTTTCTAGCGTTCATAGTGAGGAAGAGCCAGAGGTGGGACAGAGGACACCTCAGTCTGCACTTCTCAGTGGTGGCACCGTCCTCAGGAGGAGAGTGCGCCCAGGAGCCGGTCAAGTGCAGGTCATTCAGTAAGAAATGTTTTACACCTGACACATGAAGCAGTATATTTAATCTTACTCTTCGTGATGCACTCTAATTTCTGTTCATTCAAAAAAAGTGCTAGTTTCTGACCCGCTGGTGGGTGGTCAGTAGCAGTTTGGAAAACACTGGACTTGAGCCCGGCTACTCCCATGTCAGCATCACCCGGGTGCTCGCTAGAATGTGGGACCTTGGCCCTCCTTGCACAACATGAGAATCTGCATTCTAGTCTTAACTTCATTTAGGCGGTTTGGTTCACATCACAGTTCGAGGAGGCCTGGGCGGGACGACAGCGTCTGGCCTGCTGGCTGGGGAACCATCACTGGGTTGTCCTTGCCTGCGATTTGGCGAAACCAGGCGATCTGCTCTAAGTGGCTCCCTCAGCCCTCTTGCCTCCTTGTTTCTTCTGCCCGCAGCGGAGTCAGCCCTTCTCTTCATGGGCAGAATTGCAGGTTGTCAGCTCCTTACCCAAGGCTAATGTATACCATGTGGAATTGCTCCGTTTTGTCCGCACGGCCTCCTGCTTGCTGTGGGCATGATTAGGAGGCTGTGGGACTTCTTTAGAAGAAGTGCACATGAATTGCAAAGGAAGAGCAAATCTGCTCTAAACACAGCAAAGACCCGCGTCTTTAATGAAGGGTTAAGTCCCACTCAGAAGCGCCTTTGTGGGCACTGATTGCTCTGGCATCTGCGTCACTGCTTGAGTGTGAAGGAGGAAGGGGTGCAGGCTTCACACAGGTAAGTATACAAAAAACCAGCTGCAGGTTGAGCTAAAAATACCCCCAGGCTCCAAAGAGACCCACGTCCACAAAACACCGATTTCAGGGCTGCCAGGAAAGACAAGCAGCCGCAGAGCTGGAGAGGAGCCAGTCAGCCCGCAGGATGCCGCTGCCCCTCTGCCTGCTGCTGCTGCTGCTGCTCTCCGCGGCCACCGCTGCCCTGCCTCCGGAGGGTGGCCTTGCCGGCCAGGACAGTGACAGTGAGGTGAGTAGTCCTGACTTGGCCACATGCTAGCCCACTTTCTGGCAATCTCGCTGCCGGCCTGTCTGGCCACGCCTGTGGACTCCCCAGCTCTGCACGGCTGAGTGTGTAGGACAGGCTGCGGGGCTGAACCTCATAGTGTTCCCTGCTGCCCTGGGGTCCTGTGGTGTCACACAGACCACGGAGTCTCGCTGACCACGGAGCCGAGGCAGTTGGGAAGTTCTGAAGCCCAGGTGGGCTTGCTCATGCTAGCGGTCTCCATCTGCTGGTCTTTGAATGCTCAGTGATTGGACCAGTCTATCGTACTGCGGGCGTGGCGCTCACTGCACTATTAAGTCACACACACACTTCTAGAGTCTTAATTTATACACCCGGCACACGTTCTCACCGGCTCAGATGAATTGACATCGTTACTTTTTCATTGTGAGAACTTGCAACTTCACGGGGTGATTTATTTTTCCTCTTTTTTCCATTTTGAAAAAGTTCCAAGGAGAGTACATAAAGTTGACCATTAAAAATGGATTTTTCTCTGAAATTACCAGATGAGTCTCAGACAAGTCATTTATCATCAGATTACTCCTGGAAGCTTTCGAAGGAGTTTGAAAGACCAGGGTATAACGTCTCAATCTGATCTGTCTTGAAGAGCAATCTGTGGACAGCCCGGAGGAAGGCCAGAGAGGGAAAACCTGCTCATCCAATTACCTGGTCCACCTCGGGGCTCCTGAGCGGCCACTTACGGGGAATGGCAGGTCTCCTGACCCCTTCGAATTCAGGACCTCAGCAAAGATTATGGGCAAAACAAGCCGTCTTTTTCTTTCCATGATCGAGAATTCTCAACTTTTCCTTTAATTAGAGCAATGCTGTTGAGGTGTTCTTAACTCCCTCACCCTCTAAATGGATATGTGACTTATTCTGGAGCAGTTTTATGTTTTTGAAGGAAGGAAGGATGGAGGTGTTTGTCTTCGGTGCTGGCTGAGCCAGACGGTTGATTTTTCTTTGTCCTCTGCTTCTTTTCAAAAGCATCTGCAGGAAGTGGCCGAAATGAAGAACAGCCTGTTGACTTTCCTGGCTTGGTGGTCCGCGAGGGCCTCCCAGGCCAGAGCAGCGCCCTTCGTGGGAGGGGCGGCCGGGGAGGTGTCCAGGCGGCAGGAAGGCCCGCCCCCGCAGCAGTCCAGGCGCCCAGAGAAGGTGCCCTGCAAGAACTTCTTCTGGAAGACCTTCTCCTCCTGCAAGTAGAACCCCACCGACTACTCATGCAGGGAAGTGCAACGATGGAGCCAAATAAAATGTATCAAGCAGCCGTGACCTTTCTTTATGCAGTTGCCTTCTTGTTTCTGTGTCATTTGAAAAGTATTTTTAATTTAAGCTCCAGCGGTGCCCAATACTGAGTGTCCTGAGTAATCTGGAACCCTAAGTGAGTATTTTTGATAGACTTTTGTGGGTTTTGTTGTATTGTGCTCAGTGCAGCCACGGGCCTTCCCCCCACCTTCACTCTCTCTGCCTTCCTTTGATTTAAAACAGCTCAAGGCTATATATTTAAGGGTTCAGAATAACATCTTATTTCAGTTCATATTGATATAAATTGTCTAATTTAAAAAATATTGCCCTCATGTTAAAAGCCAATTTTTAACACCACTCAAAGAGCAAAATAGTTATTATTCATGATTTAGCAAAAATTTATATAGAAACAAATGCCATGCTATTAAACAGACATTATGCTGACATGTTCATAAAAGTTACATTCGAACCTGCTGTTGCATACATACTCATTTTAATGAGTCAGTTAATCATTCGTTAGAATTCTTTTCATGGATGAGCGCTTCAGGTTTATTTCAAACCCCAAACAGCGAGCCGTGCTGCTGCCGGCCGGTGCAGCCTGCTGGCCGCCTCCGCCTCCAGGGACCTGCAGTCCCAGGTCCAGACCTTGTTTGCAGACAGCGCCTCTGTGTTGGCGTGAATTGTAATTGTTTATATTCCCCCACTCCCCAGCAATCTCCCACAGAAGTGACCGTGAGTGATTGTTCGAGGAGGGGGATTCCTTTCTGGGATGTAACGCAGAGCAACGTTGAGCCCAGGAGGACCAGGATTTTGGTCGGTTCAAGAGAAAGTTAGGAGTAAACAAGTTGCTCAGTTTCAAAACCCTCATCAAATTTTTCATTCTTCCCCTACAGCACCGAAATCCTTGCTTGATTATGCATATTTATAACTCTTGAGTCATAGATTCTAAAGAAAGCTTCCAGGGTGAGGTTTTTAGATGCTAAACTTTAACGCTGAGAGATTCATCCCTGGAGTGAGGGCGCGTGTCTGAGGGTGAGGCCTCGCATTGAGGAGGCTGGCAAAGGCCGGCTGGAGGACTCGGCGATCTTCCTCTTCTCTGACACCAGGGGGGCAGGCTCGCGGGTCTGACTGCTGACCGTTCCCTTCTGTTTTCCGCAGAGCTGAGCTCATATTCATAATTACTCGCTGAGTAAAAGTATAATGTGATAGAAGAGCCTTAATGGCATCCACATTTCCAAACACAGCAGCTTTAGGAGACAGTAATTGGGTCAGTACACTGGTGACGACGTGTGCCCGAAAGACCGGCTAACCTTCAGAACTTTGTCCCGGAAGATTTTTCCAGAAGAAAAGCATGGCCATTGTTTTTCAGTTTCAATGGAGGTCATACACACACAGTCCTTAAGATTGGGATTTTAACTTTGAACTAAGTGATACCTGAAGGATAATGAGGCTAAACTAATGAGACTGCCAGGCAATCCATCAAGCCCAAGCCTCCCTTAGTTCAGGGGGATTAATAAAATGTGCACTGGCACCCACAGCATGTTAGACTAGATTAATATGCTCACGATTAATACAGTCGGATAAAATGGGTAATTAGGGTCATTTCCTACCATCAGGTGTCTGGTAGACTTTTCTTACAGTCTACCTTTCTGTAGGTGAGGATAGTCAAAGGTGTAGAGGTGGGACGTCAGCGCCTGGACAACTTCTCATTCATGCTCTTGCCTTTGTTTCCAGCGTTCATCACCAGAATAGATCCCTAACTGCTGAGGGAGAACTGTGACATCAGCACTTGACAGAAATCCCTACCCACTATTCACAGTTCAGGGCCGACAGCAGCTCTTCCCTGGCTTTCGGAAACTCAGGCCGGTCAGCTCATGGGAAATACTGAGCTTGATGTAACAGCACCTGCTGAAGGGTTAACCACATCTTCACCGTAGTAGCTTCTTCGGTGGAGACACGGGTTCCACGTTGAACAAATCAGAAGAGGAAAGGTCATGTAGGCGTAAAAAGAAGGAAGTTTTCTGTTTCTAGACTAGAAAGGAAGACGCAAAGGACAGCTGAGCCACCCACTCCTTAGTCTCTCAGAACCCTAATGAAAACACTGATTTACCCTCCTCCTCTATAATTAAGTAGCTAAGTGGTCAAGAATACATATGTTTGTCTCATTGAAATAATTACAAGCTGGAGAAAAGCTAGAATTTTTTTGGTTGAAGTTCTTGTAACATGGTATTAGAAAACACTAAAGAAAACCCAGTCAGTATCTATGCCTTAACCTGTTGGTTTACTTCCTTGTAATTGCGCGAGTGTTACGTGATTTAATTCAAGCAAATACCCAACTTTAAGGTTCTGCGATCTGAAAACCCAGCGCGCCTCCTGGGGAGGCTTCCCCACGGGACAGAAGACCCAGTCAGCCGTGTAGGGGACTCAGGCAGTGGCTAGGTGCCCAGACTAGATCATTTTCAAGGTCCTTAAAAACCTCAAGTAATAGAACAACATAAACTGATGGAACTAAAATAGACCCAGAGACATGGAAGCATGGAACAGACCATCCAACCTCAGAGGGAAGGCGGGGTGGGGGGGTCAGAGATCAACCAAAGCACTTGTATACATGCATATAAGCAGCATCCACGGACACAGACAGTAGGGGGGCGAGGGCGAGGGCATGTGCCGTGGGGGTGGGAACAACCGCAGAAAGGTCAAGGGGGAAAAAGGAGACATGTAATACTTTAAACAAAAAGAATTAAAAAAAAAAACACCCTCAAGTAATAAAAGACACAACCAAAATAATTTAAGGCAAAACCCTACTAATAAAATGTTGAAAAACCCTGAAGGCAAAAAAAGAAAAAATTAAAGAGCTAAATAATCTGGTTAGCAAAGACACATTAATAATTCTTGTATTAATGCAGGGTTTTTTTGGTGTGTGTGTGTGTGTGTGTGTGTGTGTGTGTGTCTTGTTCAGACAACTATTTTATTCCTTTCTGGAAAATGAAAAATCCATTAGTTTTTTTCCTTTTGCTTTTACCCAGAAATTAAAGGTTGGTAAGTGGTAATTAGCACAGCTCTTGTCAAAGCCAATTGCCTAATGGGGACTGCCACTTGACTTGAGTTGAAAGAACGGAATATGGCTGATGTAGAGTTCATTAGTCCCAGCTGCTTTCGTTGACATTCTTTCCTCCTGCCGTAAGAACAGGCTTGCCCTGCTCTCCCTCCTACTTTTAGACATACTGCTGCGCTGCTACTTTTCTGTTTTAGAAGGCCTGGAGGCACAGTGGTGGAGGGGAGGTAAATGGTGACCAGGGGCAGTGTTTGCAACCGCTCTCACTACACATTTGGGCCAGAGTTTGCAGTCTAAGGCCCTTTCCCTAGAGACCCATAGACGGGCGCCTCCTAAGGACAGACACAGCCCTGTCTCTGCTCCACCCGGCATCTCTGTGCCTGGGGAGATGAAAGGGAGCCACTCCAGCCCACTGCTAGAGACTGTGCACGTCCTCACATCATTTACCTCTTCCGGTCTTGGGGCCTTATACTAACCTTACGTTTTTGGCAACTAAGGTCGCCAAAGGTTAGACTCAACACGGTTTTGTCTCACTCCAAACCCACAGTGCTTTTTCCTTTACCAGCGGTTCTCAACCTGTGGGTCGCGACCCCTTTGGGGGTCGAATGACCCTTTCACAGGGGTCGCCTAAGACCATCAGAAAACACATATATGATTACATATTGTTTTTGTGATTAATCACTATGCTTTAATTACGTTCAATTTTTAACAATGAAATTGGGGGTCACCACAACATGAGGAACTGCATTAAAGGGTCGCGGCATTAGGAAGGTTGAGAACCACTGCTTTATCCTGTGCAGCTGAGATGCTTGGTGACTTTGTTACAAGTACAGAATTCCAACAGCCAGTCGAACAAAGCTCCTCTGTGTACTTGACAAAAATATGACGTTGATAGAGCTGGTGAGGAGAGAGCATTCTTCAGGGGTCGCCACTATTGTGCTCACTACGTGGCTGACAGTGGCTGATTTACTTCTCATACCCACGTCACAACGGCTACAGATAGGAACCTTTTGGCAATTATGTTGTAGACATTTTAGGCCTTTCCCAACTTACTACATCAGGAGAGCAAAACCAGTGACCTGGATGTGGAATTGAAGAGTGAGTGGACTTAAAAGAAAATACAAGTGGAAAGAGCAGGGGAATTAGAACCCGAGGACCTGCCTTTGAGTCCTGGCCCCCCGACGGTGACATGAGGCCAGCCAACCTCTCTGAGCACAGCTCTGCTCAGGTATAAAAGGCGAGGCGCCGAGCCCCACCTTGCTCAGCGCACGCAGTTTTGTGAGGCCCCCGTGTGGCAGGTGCAGCTGGCTTTACTGCCCCATCCGGGACCTTTGGAAGATGTGTGGGGACGCTTCAGTTATCCCAGTCCCTGAAGGTTCTACTGGCATTGAGTGGAGGGGGTGGGAGGCGGGCTGCGGGTCTTCGAGCAAAGTTATAGGACAATCCCACACAACGGAGAATTGTCCCACATCCCATGTGACTTTTGGTCGCCAAGCTGGGCACTTGTATGGATGAAAACCTAAATTATCCTAGCCTGAAACCGAATTCTGTCTTACGTAGAAATACGAAGTATTTTCCCCAGTTTTGATGTTCCCTGGATTTTTCAAGAATGCAGCCACCTTGTAAAAGTACAGATGTCATTCGTTCAGAAGGTCACTGATAGGGGAGATCCCATCACGAAGGGCAACGCTGCTCATGGTATTTGAGTTGACAATCACTACACACCCGTGTCTGGCTGCCTGTCAAGTTCACGGTATTTCAGTGTCTACATCTTACAGTGTCTTCGTGCCGTCGGTATAGTCATGCCAGACAGAGACATACTGAGATACATGCCATTTTATTGGAAATTTCCCTTTTGTTTCTTCTGAAATATTACATGTGGGGTGTTATGTCAGTGCTTTTGAAAGTACACATGTAGGCAGGTTATCAGCCCTGGCTTTTGTTTAAGGACAATTAAGGAGGCATGACAAAATTCGCTATCAAAAAGGCGGGGGGGCTAAGAAGTGAGAACCCAGGGTGTGGGGCATTAGGGAAGGATGCTGAGTGCAGCGGAGCCCTCCTTCAAGATCACAGAAGGAAAGGTTTTCTGTTCTATTGTTTTCTGCACCCACCCTGGCCCCGGGACTTACTGTTGTATTTCTTCATTGAATAATTAACCTAAAATAATAATTAGCCAATGTATCTCGTAATAGCATTCTACTTTCCTCTAAACATGCTTAAAAAAAGTCCCTGATAACCCGGTACCTTTTCCCTGCAAGGAGAGGTACAAAACCTGAAGAGTAAGTCTGCACAGAAAAAGAAGTATGTAAACCAGAAGTCTCTGCTTTGCACCCAGAGAGACTCAGTCATGTCGCATGGAAATGGATTTAATGACCTCTTACACCCCCTGCTGATAAAACATATTAGAAAACGGAGAAGGGTTTCGGATACAGCTCAACAATACTGAACTGGATATTAGGAATCACGAGACTCTCCGCGTCCCTAAGGCCTGCAAACTTAATATGTGCCTTTGAACAGACACACAAAAAAGTTAATTAATTTGAGAAACAAGTTTGTGGCCATAATCAACACTATTGTGCCACCTTCTTTACCATTATTTGTTTAAATTCTGCATTTCTACCTTTAGAACAGGATGGTGAGTCTGAAATATGACAATTAAAAAAAAAACCAAGTATGACAATTTCTTTTCCCTGCCCTTCGCCATGTCAAAGAGGACGTAAGAACATGTAGAGGAGGTGGGTACAGTGGGGCCTTGACTTATGAGTTTAATTTGTTCCGTGACGGAGCTTATAACTCAAATTACTGTGACGTTCAAATCACTGTGTGTCGTATGTCAAATCACTGTGACGTTCGCTGCGCCAAGTAGCGGTGGGGTATCTGAAGCTGGCTCGTAACCCGAATTTTTTTTAGCTTGCAACTCAAAGCAAAAAATCGGCCAAGAGACGGCTCGTATCTCAAAAAAACTCGTTAGTTGGGACACTCGTAAGTCAAGGCCCCACTGTATACTGGTGCAGCTGCATCATTCACAATGGGCAGATGCTGGGATCTGGAACAGTCTTCCAGCCTCTCCCAGGAGATCGTGCTCCAAGGCAGGGGGCAGAGTAGGACACAGGCAGCTGAAAGGGCTGAAGGGATTTACCGAGAACAGAGCCGAGGTCACACGGCTCTCTTTGGCGCGTCTGCAGCTACAGCTACGCGGGCTCTTGCCTGGCTCGTTTGGGGTTCTGCTGTTCTCCGGGCAGGGGGTCCCTCCGTGCTGAAATGCTCCTGAGAGAGTGCAAGCTCTGCACCTGCTGGAGGCGCAGGCCCAGCTCCTGCTCACAGGCCTGTTGAACAGTTTCCGTCTTCTTCACGTCCCAGTGCAGAGCAACAGCCAGCGCCTTGGGGTCTTCCTTGGTGACCAACTGCGGCGAGAATAAGAGCCACTGAGAGCCACGACCTCTGCCCCCTCTTCTGCTCCCGCGGCTTCTTCGGGTTGGTGATGTCCCTGCAGAAATGCCAGGTCTCCTCCACAGGAAACTGTCCTGGGCCTTCTCTGACCACACACCACCCACAGGAAAGGCTCTTTGGAAAGAAGTTTACTTGGAGCAACTACAAAGTCCTCCACTTACAGGAAATGTAGGCATGTTCAGTCAATAGAGTTTCCTTCCCAGCCAGCTACAACGCGGAGGTAGTTGGGACAAAGGTGAAAGGAAGCAGCAGCCCCCTGATGGGTTCTCTTCGTCAAGCTTCTAGTTCCCTGGTCTGAGGGCCGGCACAGGGCGGCCCTGGAGTGTGCCTTTCCCCGTGACGGTGTATGTGCCTCGGCTGCCTGCAAACCCTCCGGAACCACTGATGGCGCAGAAGCCGTGGCAGAAGCTAGCCTGCGGGCCCTCCCTATCAGGCTTCCTCACCTTGCCCCACTGTGGATCAGAAAGTCATGTTTGATGATCTGTGGGAGTGCGTCCATTTTGTGCAAGCCATTCTGATTTGGATTACATGCGGTGTTTGCAAAGGCTCTGGCATAGAATAGGCAAACTGGCAGCTAAGACTCAGGGGCTGCAGAGGTGGAAAACATCCCACACAAGACCCTGCAGGGCTATGCTACACCGCCAGGGGGAGCCGTTCTCTGTAGCTCAGGCTCCCAGCTTCTCGCCCACCTCCAAATCCTGGCTGGACAAACTCAGCTCTGGCGCAGGCTTCTCCGTCAGCGTGGTAAGGATCTGGCTCGAAAGGGCAATTTCGGAGGAGGGCTCTCTGCTCAGACCCGTGTCCACGGCATCCCCCCCGTCACCGAAGCCAGCTTGGGACTCTGCAAAGCAGACGCGGGGTGGAGATCAGCACAGTGCGTGACCCCAGCCCACCCACCGCCAGCCAGAGGAATCAGGGCAAGGCAGACACGTCATTTCGAGATGCCAGCAGCTGTGGCTCCCCTGCTCTGGACCCCGTTACAATTGGTTCTCTCCAGGAAAGGCTCCACGGCACCCGGTTCCCGGCGTGCCTCCCCCGGCCGGTGAGTCCTACCTTGCTGCTTCGACAAGATGCTGCCCTCCTTCTCCAAAGCCTGGAGGTAAAGCTCCAAGAGCTGCCTGGACTGCCGGGCTTCCTCTCTCTGGTCAAGCACCTGCTGCAGGGTGTTCTGGAGCCCCTGGACTGTGACACAGCTTTGGCCCAGCTCCTCAGCCAGGTCTGCACAGGGAACATCGATGAGCACCTAACAGACAAACACAGACTTCAAGAAGCCTACAAGTACTTTCTTTTTTTGAAAAGAATAGCTTATTGCTTTTTTAGAGAGAGAGGAAGGGAAGGGAGAGGGAGAGAGAAGCATTGATGTGAGAATGCAACACCGATCAGCGGCCTCCTGCATGCCCTCCCCCTAACCCAGCCTGCCGCCGAGGCATGTGCCCTGACTGGGAATCGAACCAGCAAGGCTTGGTGCATGGGACAAAGCCTGACCAACTGAATCACACCAGACGGGGCGACAAGTACTTTCTAAGCAGGCTGTTATCTCTCTCAAATTCATCAGTTTCACCGACTCATTTAATCTATTTTCCAAAGTTTCCTAATGGCTGCTTAGGAGTCAGGAGAGAAGCATGCAATGTTTTCAGTTTTCCTCTAGTGAAAAAATTTGGAAAACGATGCCCTAATGCCTCATTAAAAATGAAATAAAATCCTGATATTAGAAAACCCAAATGTACAGAATATAAAGGAGGTATATGATTATTTATATAATGAATCGATCTCGGGTTATTTTAGGCAAAAGTTTTTCTAATCATTTTAGCCTTAAACATGTTTATATCTTTTTTTTTTTTTTTTAATATATTTTATTGATTTTTTACAGAGAGGAATGGAGAGGGATAGAGAGTTAGAAACATCGATGAGAGAGAAACATCGATCAGCTGCCTCCTGCACACCCCCCACTGGGGATGTGCCTGCAACCAAGGTACATGCCCTTGTCTGGGATCGAACCTGGGACCTTTCAGTCCCCAGGCCGACGCTCTATCCAGTGAGCCAAACCAGCTAGGGCCATGTTTATATCTTTAAAAGTCTATTTTAGCCCTAACTGGTTTGGCTCAGTGGATAGAGCATTGGCCTGCAGACTGAAAGGTTCCAGGTTCAATTCTGGTCAAGGGCACATGCCGGGGTTGTGGGCTGGACCCCCAGTAGGGGACGTGCAGGAGGCAGCCGATTAGTGGTTCTTTCTCATCATTGATGTTTCCATCTTTCTTTCCCTCTCCCTTTCTCTTTGAAATGAATAAAAAGTAAAAACAAAACAAAACTCAAGCTTGCTCCTGCCCTCCATCTGCCAGGCCCACTCTGGCCCCAGCTTTCCAAGGCTGGCTCCAACCTGTCCTTCAGCTCTCAATTTAATCGCCAGCTCTTGGGAACCTGCCAGTGTTTACCAACTACGCTTCTAACACGTGCATGCAAGTGTGCAAAATGTCGCTGGTGTAAGTTTTTTGGCAGCATTGTCTGATGACAACCGAAACGTCCACCAGTGGGGGAGACTCGTTAAACAAAGCATGGTACACGTGTGACATGCAATACTATGCGGTGGCAAAAAAGAACCAGGCTGCCTTTTATATGCTGGTCTGGATACTCTCCAATACCTCTTTAAAAACAGAGCAGATATGCTTCTGTCTGTGTAATCTAGGGGAGGAGGAGAAAATACATATATTTGTTGTAGGGAGCGGCTATAGGATCAAGCCTCGGATATAGCCGCTCCCTACAATTTGTATATAAAATCCTGGAATAGGAGGAAACTGACAGGTTGGCTGTCTCCAGGAAGGGAAGCCTGGGTAGCGAAGAGGCAGGAGTCAGACTTTCCTGTGTACACCCCCCACCCCCAGCAGTTTTATTGAGATATCATTTCATACCATACAATTCACCCTCTGAATGTACAATTCAGTGGGTTTTGGTATAGTCACAGGATTCTGCAATCATCAGCACAGTCTTTTTAGAACATTTTCATTCCCCCAAAAAGAAACCCCATACCTATGAGGGGTCACTTCTTATTTCTCCTCAAAGCTCCCCACCAACCGCAGGCCTAGGCAACCACTAATCTACTTTCTATCGCTACAGGTTTGTGTATTCCGGCCCTTTCATTATATTTGCTATCATACAATATGTGGCCCTTCGTGGCTGGCTTCTTTTCCTTAGCAGTTTCCAGGACTGATCTACGATGTAGTGTGTATTAACAATTCACTCCTTTCTGTGGCTGGATAATACTCCATTAGGTAGATACGTCACATTATTACTCATCAGCTGGTGGATACGGGCTCTTCTCACTTTTTAGCTACCTGGATATCCTTCTATACCTCTTGGATTTTTAAACATGTGAATGTATTATTTATTCAAAATAAATATATACGTTTACAAATTAACCAAAGGTCACCTCCTTGAAGGGAGCCTTCCTTGACCTCCCAATCTGGAGTAACCCCCCCTCTCGGCACATCGCCCTGTACCGTTCATTTCTTGTTTGGTCTGCCTCCCTTCACCAGAATTCAAGTTCCCTTGGAACAGCGACTGTGGCTGCCTGTTCACAACTGGCCCCCAGTACACAGAGGCATGCCAGACACAGGGCAGGGCTCAATAAACAGCTTTGTGAATTAACACAAACTATTTTATCTCCACTTTACTGGAGGTAATGCCGGCAGAGAAGCTAAGTTACTGGCTCAAAGTCATAGTGATGGAGCTGGGATTTTAATCGAGCGTCTGCACCTCCACATTCTCTAGCAGAACATCCTAGACCCCCACAGTGGGCCTAATAGGTCTAGGTGGGGCATGCGCATCGGTATTTTTAAAAAGGTCCACAGGCAATTCTGATGCAAGGCGAGGGCTGAAAGATTCCTGTTCCAGGTGAGCAAATTAGAAAATGAGGAATCTTGGTTGTCATTTAAGAAATATTTAAAAATTAATAAATGAGCCCAGTCCTAGCTGGTTTGGCTCACTGGCTAGAGCATCGGCCTGCGGACGGAAAGATCCGGGTTCGATTCCAGTCAAGGGCACATGCCTGGGTTGTGGGCTTGATCTTCAATTCAGGGCGTGAAACATCTGAATGGACTGTGGAGAAATGTACAATTGATGTAATAATACACAGTTGGTACTTCCATCTTCACATCCTTGGTATTAGTGATTTAAAAATGACATTTCAGCCGAAACCGGTTTGGCTCAGTGTATAGAGCGTCGGCCAGCGGACTGAAAGATCCCGGGTTCAATTCCGGTCAAGGGCATGTACCTGGGTTGTGGGCACTTCCCCAGTGGGGGGTGTGCAGGAGGCAGCTGATCGATGTTTATCTCTCATCGATGTTTCTAACTCTCTATCCCTCTCCCGTCCTCTCTGGAAAAATCAATAAAATATGTATATATAAAAATAATAATAATAAAAGTATTATGGCAAGACCCATGGAAACTAAGAAACTCTTGTGGGCGGCAGAGGCCAGACGTGAGGCAGTGAGCTGTGGAGGAGGCTTACTTGGAGGTTCTCCTCTGACAGGAGAACGATGCTGGACAGATCTTCTTTCAGCTGCCGGGCCACATTCTTCCACTTCAGCTCTGCCCCGCTGTCTGTTTCATCCACATCCACGGACTCCTGGGAAAGCCAAGCAGTGCCTCCGTCTGACATGTGGGGGGAAAGGCCAGTCACATTAGATGAACTGAAAGTGTTGTTTCACCTCCCCCGCAACACACACAGCCCTCCAGCATGTCTGCACATTCTTCCGACTGACCATCTATAATAAAAAAGGCCTAATATGCTAATTAGACCAGACGTCCTTCCAGATGACCTTCTGGACGAAGCCAGGGCTGTGAAGGCCAAGGCAGAGGCGGCCGTGGCGGCGGCAGGGGGCCCGAGCCCCTTGAACGAATTTCGCACATTGGGCTTCTAGTTTAGAATAATTTCAATGGAGAAAGAAGCACCTTTTCTCAAGGTTATGGGAAAGCCAATCTCCAGCTAATTTTCCCTCTTCTTCTGTATTTAAAAAAATTTTCTTTTATTGATTTCAGAGAGGAAGGGAGAGGGAGAGAGAGATAGAAACATCAATGACGAGATAAAATCATCGATTGACTACCTTCTGCACATCCCTTACTGGGGATCGAGCCTGAAACCCGGGCATGAGCTCTGACAGGGAGTTGAACTGGGGACCCCTTGGTCATGGGTCGACGCTCAACCACAGAGCCACACCGGCCAGGCTTCACTTTATTTCTGCATGTAACTGCTCTTTATTCTTTTATGGAAAGAAGCTACCAGGGTCCTACCACACTTCCCTGTAGGTTAGTTTTGCGTCTCTGAGTACACAGGACATTCGTTCTCACGATGCTTGTGGACTGGTCTTGCCCTTGATTGGAGGAGCTGCGGCTACTGCTGTCCCTGGGGGACAAGGTGGGCTGGGAGAGCCATTGCTGAAGGTTAGTTCCTCAATTTAGTGGCCTGAGGACTTTCCTTAAGGCACTTCTGTAGCTCTTTGGTCCTTGCTCATCAATGTTAGTTCCCTTTGCATCCCCGGTGATGACGGTGACAGTAACGTTTATTGAGCCCTTACTGTGTGACAGGTAAGATCTAACTGCTTTCTGTCAGAGGTTCTCAACTGGTAGTGATTTTGTTCCCCAGGAGACATTTGACAATGTCAGGAGGCATTTTTGATGGTCATAACTGGGGTGAGGAGATGCTACTGGCATATAGAGGGCAAAGACCAGGGATGCTGCTAAACCTTCTACAATGCACAGAATAGCCCCACAACAAAGAATTCTCCAGCCCAAAACGTCAGCAGTCGTACTGAGAAACCCTGATTTGACACGTACTATGTCCTGTTCTCCTTACAGCAATCCTAGGAGACAGGTGCCATAATTACCATCTCAATTAGGTGCTGAGAAGTTGGGTAATTTGGCCAAGGTCACACGGCTAGCAGATGGCAGAGCCTGGACTCAGGTGCGGCAGCCTGACTCTTCCTGTGCACGGATTGTTCTGCCACGCTGCATTTGCGTTGCTGTTGGTCTGTGAGTTACTTGAGAATTGGGCCCATCTTCACCCCCAGGCTCGGCACCGTACCTGGCATTCCCAGACCGTCAGACAAACCGTAACCCGGGGCCTGAGCAGGAACAGGAATCATGACGGATACTGTACTGCATAGTCCAGGGGTTCTCAAACTTTTTAAACAGGGGGCCAGTTCACTGTTCCTCAGACCGTTGGAGGGCCGGACTATAGTTTAGTCGGCTGCTAAGCAACAGGCAGCGGTGGCAAAAACACCCGGCGGGCCGGATAAATGTTTTCAGAGGGCCGCATGTGGCCCGGGGGCCGTAGTTTGAGGACCCCTGGCATGGACCATTTGCACATGGCCAGCATTTCTTACCTGAGTTGTTGTATGCCCACTTCTCATTACCGGCCAATGCGACAAACTTAGTATTAGAAGGCAGACACAGGAAGTAGTCGTCATCATCCACTATGGTGCCATCCTCTGCCAGGACCAAGGTGATTGGTGCCAGGGACTTATCCATGGCCAGGATGTCATAGGCTGAGAGAAAGAAAACATTTGGCAATTGACAAGTATCCATAAGGAAAACACACGTATCCTTTCACTCTCAATTTGTATGCCCCTAGGGCCCAGCAGAATTCCTGGTAGGTAATGATAACTACAACAACAGCCACAGCTTTAGTCGCACTAATAGAACACTTTCATGGGCCTGGTACTGTTCTAAGTGCTCGGCACATAGAATATTTAATCTCATAACAATCCTAGAAGGTAGATACTACTGTTACCCCCATTTTACAGACATCAAGCCCAAGGCTCGGAGAAGTTAAGTAACTTGTCCAAGACAGCACATTAAGTGACAGAACTGGTATGTACACCTGCAGAATCCGGGTCAATTCCTTGTAAACAAGCAGCCTTTCATTCATTTACTCAGCGGTCATCTTAAACTCTTCTGTGTCAAACGTAAAAAAAAAAAAGTTATGCTTTTTGTTCTCTGTAGGATCTTTCTCTGCAGCCTTTATAACCCATGGGAACGTATAAAGAAGCAGAAACTTGTATCAGTAGCCTAAGATGCTAATGAGACTACAAATATCCTCAAGGCAGTGTCGTCTCCCTCCGCAAATGGAGGAGGAGCTCCAGAGGGCACAGCACTTACAGGGTCTCTGTGCCAACTGCAGCCCGGCAGTGAAAGGTCATTAAGCTCTACCCGAATGCCAACCATAAATACCTGTAAAGACATTGGGCAAAAGCCATGTCACTAAAGCGTGGACAGCACGGAGGCTGCTCCTGGGTTCTGCCTGCCTTCTCGGCGGCCTGATGACCAAGAGAGGAAGCCCTGAACCCTGGCACACACTGGGACTACATGCCTGGGGACCACTGGTAGAATTCCTTTAAACAAGTTACTTCTACAGACTAATAAGGCTTGCAAATTATTTGCATGTATCCCCTGAGAGTCCTGACAATCCCGGGAAGCAGGGCTGGAAATATTATATCCACTGCCAACGAGAAAACTGAGGGTAGAGAGATGGTGGGTTAGTGCGAGATCAAGTAGCTAGTACAACCTGGGGAAGTGGGGGAGGAGCTCAGGACTTTTGTCAACTCATCACAACATGCGATGTTTGTCGGTAGCAAGCAGCTCCCTCTTTATCGCACAGGTTGAGGGTGGAAACCCGCCCCACCCCGCCCTGGGCTCACCTTGGAGAGCCTGAGTGATAAGAAGGCACTAGGCTGGGATTTGGTCCAAAACCTAAATGATTTCAGGCAAGGTACCTACATCGAGTCTGTTTTAATTTGCAAAATGCTTCCCGTCTACCTTTCCACCACCATGAGGGTCGCACGAGATAAGTTAAAGCGCTTGTGAACGCTTTGAAACGTGTAAGTCGCTATTGAGACATTTCCGTCCCAAGGCTCCCAGAGCTTCAAGAATCCCAAGTCGCCTCTCTCCACCCCGCCTTGCCCCCGCCGACCTCCTCACGCGGCCCCGGAGCCCCTCTGCCCCGAACCCCCAAGGCCTCGCCTCGGTCCCCGGGCCGTGCCTACCCTTGCTCCTCAGGTCCTCGAGGCAGGAGGCCGCCACGCCGTACTGCTCGCGGCTGTGATTGCGGCGCAGCAGACACGGCTTTAGAGCCTGATTGTCGCCGGGTTCCGGACCACTGGCGCCCCAAGACACCTCCATCCTCCACCGGAGCGGGACTTGATTGACTCCGGGAAGTCGCTGAGGCTAGTGCCGGGGTCCTCCACCCACTCCCCTGGCATGCCGGGAGATTTAGTTCTTTCCGTAGCAAATCACGCATGGGGCCCAAGGGACGCTGGGAGATGTAGTTCTAATGGACGCTGATCGCGTGCGGCCCCCGGGCCATGCCGGGAGCTGTAGTATCTGGGTGCAAAGCCGACTTGGTTACGTCGCCCAATTCGACCTAGGAAGAGTGTTTTCCTTCCTTGTATTTAGGAGTAGCAATGGCGCGTTCAAAATGAGGTCAATAGGGGTTTATTTTGCATTATGGACGATACGCATGCATCCTCCCTTGTCTTGTTAGAACACTCCTATTTGCATGTATACATGTATAATATGAATACTTTGAGTCTGTTATTGCCCCGTGCTAATTTGTTTTCCCTTTCCAACCTGAAAAGTTCTGTAAGATGCCCCATCTTTCAGGCTGATCTGAAGGAAGTCAATTTAAAAAATTGATGAGGCTGTTTCAGTCTTGCTGAAAAACATAACAGAGAAGCATAAGATAATCACACATTTCCGTTCAACTCCCTGCTTCAGCCATGCAACTAGGGTTGGACTCATAACAAAATGCGTAAGTAAATAGGTAAATATTACGGTCTAAATGAAATCAGAGAGGAAAGTGGAAATGCGAGTCACATCACTGAGATTATGTATATAATATGTATATATATGTATACATATGCATATGTATGAATATATGTATATATGTATATATATGTATATATGAGAGCAAAAAGGACAGACCTCGGATCTTCCTGGAAAGCAGAGACCTGATGAAAATTGTGCGACGTGATTCGACGTGGGAGTTCCCCGCCTCCCGGGGTGGCCTCCATCGATAAGCTCGGTTCGGCTACTTCAGTCTGGGCGGGAGAGCGAGAGCGAGGGCGCCTGGGAGAAGCCTCGCCCCGCGGCGATCGATTAGTCAGGCCTCGGAAAGATGGCGTCCTCGGAGCAGGCAGAGCAGCCGAGCCAGGTGAGGGGAGCCGGACGGCCCGACCGTGGTGGCGGGGACCCCCGCTGGAGGGGGC